CGCGGCGTGTAATTTGGTCAGGCGCGACGCCGGGAAAACGCTCGACAATAAAACCGGCATAATGGACGCCTACCAGCGCGAGACAATGGCATCCGTCACGTCCTCACTTAACCAGCCTCGCTGTGGGCTAGTTAGGAGTTATCGGATGCGTCGTGGGCCCGAAAGCTGCTTACGGTCACGGCAGAAAACAGGAAATAAAACGGACACTTATTTTGAAGGTATTGAAGGTGCCATTCAAATAAACTCAAAATATATCCCTCAGGAGCCAATCAAATTAAGTCAAACAATGTTCTTCGATACCAGAAATCTGGATATGCAAAAAATATTTTACCTCATAACCAAGACTCTTAACTGTTGACATTGTAGGAAACAACTACCCTGCGGACTATACGGGGTGTCCCATTTTAAACTAAGCACCTGAATATCTCGTCAGGAGAGCCACCAATCTGATAATAACCCTTACAAAAGTTGTTGGGTTCGGATGGTGATTTTCAGTTTGACCTTGACATCGACCTCCACTGTCATTTGAAGGTCAAATCTAATTTTTTAAATAGGAACCTCTATTTTTGACCCCAGATTCGAAAAAACGCAATATTTTATGTTTAAATAGGCTCTTTTTTGGATTGACCTTTAAAGGTTATTTCAAGGACAAACTATTTTACATTACGCACCTGAATATCTCGTCAGGGGAGCCACCAATCCGATAATAATCCTTACAAAAGTTGATAGGTTGGGATGGTAACCTTCAATATGACCTTGACATTGACCTCCAAGGTCATTTGAAGGTCAAATCAATTTTTTAAATAGGAATCTATTTTTGAAACCAGATTAGAAAAAAACGCAATATTTTATGTTTAAATAAGCTCTTTTTGGAATGACCGTTAAAGGTTATTTCAAGGACAAACTATTTTACATTACGTACCTGAATATCTCGTCAGGGGAGCCACCTATCTGAAAATAACCCTTACAAAAGTTGTTGGGGGGAACATCGGATGATGTCCTTCAATTTGACCTTGAAGAAGAACCTTAAGTACCTATCTAAACGTAAACAAACGTATCTATTTAAACGTAAACGAGCCATAAGTACCTATTTAAACGTAAAATTTCACGGTCTTTCTAAATCCGGGGTCAAAAATAGAGGTTTCCATTTAAAAAATTAGATTTGACCTCCAAATGACCTGGAAAGTCAAGGTCAAATTGAAGGTCACCATCCGATATCCCCCTTCGAACTCAACAACTTTCGTAAGAGTTATTTTCGGATTGGTGGCTTCCCTAACGAGATATTTAGATTCATCAATTTAAAATATTTCGTCCTTGAAATAACCTTTGAAGGTCTTTAAAAAAAAGCCTTAGGTACCTATCTAAACGATAAATTTTGCGTTCTTTCTGAATTCGGGGTCAAAATAGAGGTTCCTGTTTAAAAAATTAGATTTAACCTTTAAATTGCCTTGAAGGTCAATATCAAATTGAAGGTCATCATTCGATATCCCCCTTTCAACCCAACAACTTTCGTAAGGTTTATCTTCCGATTGACGAGGTATTCAGATGCGTAATTTAAAATGAGACGCCCTGTATACCCTGACCAGCAATAAGGGGAAAAATTTTAATGTGTGATTGACTAGACCACTATACACAAACGTTTTTTTGCTCCTTCACATCAGGTTTTAGAGATATCCCAACTTGAATGTACAAAAAAAACAAGGTTTTTCTCACTATATTTGAGGTTACGTTACATCGCGAGGTAATTTTTCTTCACAGAACTCATTATGGCATCTAAAAGCATTACGCCTCTTCTTCAAAATATATTTTGATTCATTCGAATATGTCTATTTCTTCCCGAGGAATCCAATTGATTAGATTGACGTATTCTTCGATATTCAGAAACCTAAGAAAAAGAGATCGCTGATACGAATCTGAAGTTACATTTACAATATTTAAAATGGCGGATCCAATATGGCGGGTGAGATAATCCTTTTAACACCATGGCCCTAGAGATCTAAGTACACAATGGTCTAGTACAGCAGACTATAACCTCATAGCTGTAATTTACATTTAATCTCTCAACTAGATCATTGATGAACACGATGAATAATAAAGGACCAAGAATGGAACCTTGAGGAACTCCTGACTCGACAGTTCTATACCAGTTGTATAAAAATAAGGTTTAAGAACACTCAATTTGAATTCGAAACAAAGAAATGCTACCACCTATTGATCCTCCACGAAGATACTAAACTCTTCGAGCTGCACGAGATGCAGCTATTTCCGTTTTTCAGACCTAAAAGTGACGATTTACGCTGCTTTGAGTGGGGATCTGGCTTTTTTTTGCGGAAAATATTACATAATAAAATGCTAAGAAATTATTTTATCTCTCGAAAACTCTTGAACCTCACCCAGCAATTTGTATCCGACCATTTCCTAGAGTATTAACGCCTCTTCACTTAGCGATACTCATCTGTTAAACCGGTTCAACAATGACTAGAATAATGATAACAGGGCCTCGATATAACAGCCCGGATATTCCGCTAGTCATTTACATACAGCAAACTAATAGGAAACGTACCGAATTCTACATTGATTGATATTAGCGGAGGTAAATATGCATAGGCCGGCAATCGCGTGTAAATCCGTAGATTCTATGGGGGCCCGAATTCTAAAGTGGAAGTCTCTTGATAATAGCCCGCCATAAATACAGCTTGATCGATCTACGCCGGCGGTCTATCAAAGCAACTACGCGTAATCTCATTCCTAGATGGGCAATTCTCGGTGTGGGGCGATGTCTGCCTAGTAGATATATCTCGGCGACCGTTAATTAAAGAGATATTTAATCGGCCGGTTAGAAAATAGAGGGCGCCTTTGCGGGTCATCCGAGAGACGGTTTGACGATAGAGAAATATATTATAACGATGCAGTGAAATGACACCCTAGTCCACTATCTATACACTACTGCAGTGTAAAAACGGTTTACAAAGAATGTGGAATGGTAGTGATATCTTCAAGGAACAGCATTGGCCCAAAACGAACCCTCGAGACACACCCGAGTAGATGTCACGGAGAGAAGAATAATTAGAACATATTATTAATTAATTCATGCATTAAATGAAAATGTCTATTAACCGAGGATTGAATTTTGTCAGTGGTTTTTACAACAATGCGAACAGCTTGATTTTCAGTTATTAATATTATTTACCGATGAAGCTTAATTCGCAAGAGAAACCATTTCGAATTGTCATCATAATAACCACCAATGGGCGGATGAAAATCCGCATATTATTTTCCAAGTCGATTCCAAGGACAGTTTTCTCTGAATGTTTGTGCAGGCATTGTGGGCGATTACTTGATTGGTCCCTACTTTTTACCCATAACCCTATGGTAGAACTTATCAAAGTTTCCTACAAGAAGAATTACCACCACTTCTAGAAGAAGTGCCATTGAGATTATGTCAATTATTGTGGTACATGCATGATGGAGCGTCACCTCGTTACAGCCTTATCGTTAGACAGTTGCTGAATAATCGGTATCACTGGATTGGGAGAGGAGGACCCATTGCTCGGCCGGTTCGTTCCCTCGACCGGAATAAAAAATTTTTATAGGGCAAAAGTTGATTATTTTCATCAGTAGAATACGCCATTAAAGTTTGGCAAAACTTATCATTAACACCTGTATACAATATACAACGAAAATTAAAAAGTCAGAATTCTTTTCAATCATACAAGCTATCTAACGTCCGAGAGATCTTTTACACCTTTCCGTGGACTATTTCCAAGGAAAATAACGCCGAAATCCCATCTCAGTTCCTATGAAAACATATCCGAGCTGGCTGGTGAATATTCCACCATAACTAATTAGCAGCGAGATGTTTTGCCTAACTCGAGCAAAATCGCGCGTCTATTTGCGTTCCGGCAGAGCGAAAATCTGGAAATGCAAGAGCCGGCGGGAGTTTGTTGCCCCCTTACGTTCTCCTTACATTATCATCATCTCGCGCATCCAGTTATGATAAAGCGCCACACGATATATCATGCTCAACGGGGTCGTTCTTTACAGTCAGACCTCTGCCTCCTCCTACCACAACCCGCCAGCTCTCTGATACCCAGAGAGTCAAGATTTGATCTAGATGCATTAAACATTTCATTACGTGCCTTGGAGTAACATGTATTTGGCTGTTATTTAACTCGGTACCTAATAACCGGTCAAATGTGATTTTTTTATTAATTTTTTATTCACATAAGCGATCGCTCAGGTATTCAGTGCATGTTGTTGGAAGAGTTTTGCTAGAACTTTTTCATGGCGTTTGCAAATCCATCTTCATGGAACATTTCCTTAATTATAACAAAAATGACCTCGATACCTGAAAAATACTAATTTTTCTGTCGAATTTACGAAAATGTTTACTATTATTTGCTCAATGTACTTTGTACAATGAGTCCGCAATATTTTATTAGAGCATTTTATGATTAAAACTAAGAGGAAAAGTATGCTTGAACTCTCTATGTATGAAGTATGCTTTTTAAGGAGGCTACGGCTCCTTAAAGGTGAGCCCTTGAAAGTTGTTTTCTGCAGAACCCTTCGAGATAAAACAATGAAATGTACCACTGGCGGAACTTGTATAGATAGTTCGGTTTAGAAAAATATCGAGTTTATTAAACATTAAATAATGGAAAACATAAATTAAAAAGGTTGGTCAAACACTGACTACTTGTATTCGAATATTATAGCTATTCTATGGTTTCTTTTTTGATACTTTATAATGGCACTTGTTTTGTTACAATGTTATTACAATTTAAACAGCAATTTTATTGCTTTATTTCGAACGGTTTGGTAAATATCTAGAAAACGCTATAGAGGGCTCACTTTTAAAGAGCCCTCTTAGAGGCATTAACCTGCCTGCATTCTAATAAATAACTCATTTTTAGTGTTAGGAAACTTTGGTAAACCGTTCATTTAGGGATACTCTATTTGCCAATTGAAACTGCAAGTTTTTAACCAGCGATTCGTTTCAGTTGTCCCCGTCGGAGTGCCCGTTGTGACCGTGGACAGGGCAGGGCTGGAGCACGGGCGCCCCCTCATCGCCGACTGCCACGCGCCGCCCTCCTTCCCCGCAGCCAACATCACGCTGTATGTCAACGACGAGAGGGTGAGTCTGTGATTTATAAATCAATAAATCTAGGTCAGGAATAATGTTGCCGAACGAGCTTTGTACGAAACACGGGAACGCCGCGCTGCGTTTGACGCGCGTTTCGATTAGTGGGCTGTCATCATCGGGTGGTGATGAATGGTCCTGGTCCTTGTAATCTCAAAGATATTTAAAAGTGAAATATGGCATTTAAAATAATTTTATTTCATTATACAAAAATTCCAATCTTAAAAGTTTAAATATTCTTTGTTGTGGGCAGGAAAGGGTACCTTACTCTCTGATTTTTTTCGAGGCAATAAAAGTAATTTGTTGGATTAATCTGTCAAAATATATTTATGGCACCTGCCTCCAACATATAAGAATTACGGGTCCGTACGATCTCAAATTGTCCGGTTCTAATATAAATAAATCATTTAAGGTCCGTACAGGCCGCTTAAAATTGACAAGTGAATAGATTTTTGGGCCACCCTTGAAAAGGGCCTATAAGTCTTGTCGGAACACGAAATTCCCTTTGGACATAAATCATCTTTATCGAACTAGCACTCTGATTGAACACTGCCCCTCGACGGGCACCAAAAATAACAGTTTAAACTGAAACAAAAATCAATATAACTAATTCGTACGTATCGATATCCCCCTTCTGATTTTCACTGCCAAAACAATTGCCATCGACAAACGATTCAGACACTCGCTTGTGAAAACTAGGACCTCTCCTAACGAATCAGGCGGCAAGTTTGGAGTTGATGATTAATTATGACGCCACAAAATAGCAGCGACAAGGTTTCACATGTAGCGCATGATCCAACAGGCAAATATTTGTATGTACGTGTTTGATGGATTGCACGAATTGGTATTATTAATTAGTCAACAGGGAAAATTTACATTTTGAAATGCGTTGCGGCTATACGAAGTGTAAATAGTAATTCGTGCGGTTAGCCCTGCTATACAAGGTGTTTAAACTTACTAATTACACTTCAACGTCAATGAAAATCGAGATGCACCATCGATAAGATACTAGACACTATAACTACCGTGAACTCGTAGAATTAAAGAATCAATAAAGTTGAAATAATCACTAATGTTGTCTGTGTTTTCAACAACTTTTAGCAATACAGAAACAATAGGCTATACACTAAAAGGTGTACGTGACAGAAACACATAACCTCTAAAATTGAATCTCCAGACGCACTTTGTGGGGATAATAAAAGTTCCCTAGATCGTAGTTTGAAAAGCAAGGTCGTTTATTAAAAAAAATCTCAGCAGGAGCACATCATTCATCGCCGCCCGCCCCTAGCACGCGGTTAAATGCCGAGCGTCGCGGTAACAGCTGACTGTCGTTGACAAATTCCCGGCGGTAACAAAGTAGGCGGCCGCGGGCCAGAACAATTTTGCGGCGGATTTAACAATAACACAATTGTATTACAACATAACCTATGGCATTAACAAACAGCTCACAATTAAGTTTCAATTATACAACAATAGAGCCTTGGTTAGATTACATTAATCGTTGTTTGTACATCCGACGTTCGGAGCGCCCTCCAAGCTTCGAGTAGAGCACGTTTGATCGGGGAGTTCAAAAAGATTAATGCTTTACGGATCGCGTTTGCGGGGGTAGGACGTGTTAATTTCGTCTTAATTTTTTCATAAATGTGAGCGGGATACCAACGAAATTTGTACGGCCATGTTTCTATTTGAAGCCAATTTTACTTACTACTTACTGATTCAAATTAATTCTAAATATTTTCCTGGAAATCTTATCAAACGAATTCATGTGAATGCCGTTTGGTTTTTAAAATGTACTATGATAAAGTAATGATTTCATATACAAGCAAGTAATTAACCACGATAGATGAAATCTGAGTTACGTCGACACTTTTAGAGTAGGATAGTATACAATATAATTTATTACCAAAAACAAAAATCATTTTTATTTAATTTTTTTTAGTTCATTCGCTTAGATATTGCTACAAGTAATTGTATGCGTTGACCCTTTAAAACGTATACATGTATTCAAAAGTTAAAGTCGGTCACAGCATTGTTCCTGTCTGATTACTTTACCCCCAGACATCTGTCACCACTGAAGTGACGTCACTGACGAAGCAAGGGGGCTTTACAATATAGGTGGTAATAGCAAAACAAATAGTTTTGTATATTGTACCAATATCGCGGAATCGATTACTCTCATATTCTATTCATCAATGCGACTCTCGCATCATTAGGGCCGTTCGAATGGAATAGTAGGAAACCCGACGAAACCATTCGGCCGTAACGATCGCAATTACGCCATAATTCTCGAAAATATCGCGCGGAAATAAAGGATGATCAACGACAATTACTGTCAATTACGTTGTAATATACGCAAGTCTGCTTTGCTTAATTAATTGGTTAATTTAATCCGGTGTTAATTACTGGCGGCCTCTAATTTCGAACACATTAGGCGGGGAATTGCGGGACAGGCCTTCGGACTAGGAAATGGTTTTGATTGGCATAAATCGACGACGCGGATGCGGTGCTGCGTACGACGTGTGTCTAATTTATAGCTTTTACGAAATAAAACAATTTTATAAAAAAGTTTAATTTAAAATAAACATGCATGGTTTTTTAATGGAAAACTTGTTGGGAACCTCTGATTTCACTGTGACATTTACGTAAAACATGATTTGATTATTCCAAACCGAAAATTAATGTGAAATGTGTAATCAATATTTAGTTCAGAATATTCCTATAGTTATTTACACCATAAAGCAGGTAAGTATTATTTACCAGTCCGACAGGACGATTTTACGCCCGAGCGGAGCGATGCCAGGCAATAGACTCCGAGACTGGTAAATTATATTTAACTGCTGCGTGGTGTATAACATTTTATCTGCTCCCACATTTCTTTATGGTTCATGAAATAAAGATTAGGTTTTATTTTTTAACATTTCTTAATCAATTCATTTTGACATTATTTGAGATTACAATGAGGTAAGTTAGCTCACTTACCTCATTAAAAACAATGTATTATTAGTCTATTTACTATAGTGGGAGCAGATAAAATTTCTTAATATTTTTATAATTTTGCCAAAGTAGAGTGGCCAGAGAAATATAATTCACTGCCACCAATAACTCCTTATTAAAAACACGATACAATTAATTAACCCCCTGCTCTCATTTTTCACTGCTCACCTTTTCTTCCTCTAATGCCCCGATTGTCTTAAAATTGGGTTAAATCGACAATTAACACCCTTCTCCCCTTCGCGCCTGGTTCGTCCCATTTTCTAAACACATAACCGATAGCCTCCCTTCCTGATGACCTTCACAGTCCTTAAAAAAGCGCGCACCCAACGAATCCGACTAAACAATGTACAACGGCGTTACTGGTGTACGCCCTTATAATTGGTTTCATTAAATTCGATTCCACGGCACAACCGGTGATATTAAGTGAGTAAATCGCGATCTAATTGCCAATTACAAACCTTAATACCCTTCTCCGGAGCATCTCGGCTTCTCCAATAAACCACCAGAGTCGATCGACTGCAGCGCTGTCAATGAGAAAAACGGCTGTTACATGTGGTGCACCAGAGCAAGTTAATGCCTTGTACTTAAGGCGTGATGTACCGGTTGTATATTCTTGATCGTTGAGAAGATTTTAAAACCGAATCTCAAGCAGGGCCCAACAATAATCCAAAAAAGAAATTGGAATACAATTACAGTTTAAATAAAATATGAATCATTGAAATTTAAATGATTTATTTACGTTAGGAGTAATTCTACTGACCTTTTTTTCGTTCTAAATATACCTATGTGTAGAAGAACAAGAGTTTCCCACATTTAAAAGAGTGTTTACCCTTTACAGGCGTGTAAAGTTTTTATACTTAAATATACTTTTATGTCAAGTGCTTATAAAGATAAAGCAGTTTTAAACTACTGACAAGGTTATTAATAAATGTTGAATAACAATGGTCTCAGAATTGGTCCTTGTAGAACACCTGACAATACTGGACAACTGTGTGAGGAAAAAACCCTACAACCTATAAATTGCTGTCGATTGCAAAGATGAGAACCAAAAAATGAAATAAATCAAAGAAAATATTACTTTCATATTTATACTTTCAAAAAACTGATATTTAGAAAAAGGCGTGCTAAAAAGTTAAAAAAGCTGTATAAAAAACTGGTTTAATTTGTTAAAGAAATGTGGGAAAAAGTGTACATTAGCGTATAGAATACTTTTTCAGAAGACAAATAAAGGAAGGGATCATTCACGTAAATTTAAGAGAGCAGGGGTCCCACAACAGAACCTTGAAACACACCGCTTTCTTCGACAGTTACGTCAAATCCAATTGTGATGCAAAAGTGTAAGTAATGATGGCAACTTTTACTCATTGAAAAGCACAGTGTAGGGATTCCTACATGCAAATCGCTTACACTGTAAAAAAAAATTTCACTCAAATTCAGTCAATTTTGCTCAATTTTCACTCTATTAGTATGAGTACAACTAAAATTTTATGATATTTTAAATCCGAGTTTCTTCTAACTACTAAGTGAGTGACTATTGACTTTATTTTGAGTATGTAAAACTAATTAAGAGTTGACTTTCTCTCTAATATAATTTAAATTTAACTACACTAATGCAAAAAATTAAAGGATCAAAAGAATTTCCGAAATTATTCCGTGATTTTTGACAGATTATATTTAGGTCGTATCGGGGATTAAAAAAAACATTTTGAAGCTCTAAGATACTAGTTTTTAGATCTTTCGGTCGAAATTTTTAAGAAACTATGATTATTATGCAATTCTAAAAAAAATTTAAGGGTTACGTTATTTTGCATTATTCTGAACGTAATAATTTAAAACTTAATTCTAGTAAACGGAATGTCGTTTTCTTCACACCAGAACACATGAAAATAAAAATGCACAGAGAATTAAAACTGCACATAATCAGCCCTTAAATTCTTTAAATGTAGTACAAAATCTAGGGTTCCTCCTAGATTCTAAGCTTTGGTGTCGAGAACAAGCCTCTATTTTTGGTA